ATCGGGCGCGTTCGAACAAGCGAGAGACGCGCCAGCGGTTCTCATGAATTCCACGAGCTGCGAAACAGGCTGCAGCAGCAGCCGTACCTGAGCGCCCGATAGTTCCGCTCCGTAATCGATCAACTTCAACAGCTCACTATTCAAAAACTATTGGTGTCTCGACTTTTTTTATAAGAACTTTTATTACTCACTTTTATACAAGGAATCTCGTAGCGTACTCAGTTAAGTATTTACGAAACACCCTGTATAATCACGCGCGAGTATTAATGAATAGTTAGACCTCGTGCTAAAGGTTTACACACATCTTTCCAACGATCTCATAGGTATGTTTCCTTACTTTCATTACTTTATATTATAATCTTTCGTGTTTTTTCTTTTTTCTTATTTATTTTTTATTTTTTCTTTATTCTCACATATAGTATGACTATCAAACTGTTTTATATTGCCTGAGTTACTGAGGATGATCAAATTACTGATCGAAACGTCTAAAAAATTTTTTGTTTTTTTTTTATATGAAGATTGTTAACACACTGATGTAACGAACAAGAAAATTGTAATAATTAGCGAATAACAACTAGCGTTTTAAGCACGAATATCCTCGTTTCTTATTTTTGTTATTTTGTACGTGCTTTATCTCTTCTTCAACTTTGTTAAGGTATTTAAGCACAACCATTTGTTTTACAACACCACTCTTTATTTAAACTGAACGCCGGATCACAATAAGAAACGTGAAATATTAATTAAAATCGTGAAGATGCTTTTTATCGCGCAATCTGTATACTTCTTTTTCCAAAATTGCGTTCTCCGGCTAGCCTCTATAGCATTATCCTCTACGTCCCAAGCGATGAGCATAAATTTATCTGTTATTTAACACAAGCATCAGTACTTGGATACCAACTACAAGCCAATTGCAGATTAAATAGGTCATTGCGCACGCAAGATGCACTTAAGAATAGCACTCTGGTGCAAATCTGGCCTGGAAACCATAAGGTTTCTTACATATGTATAGTACTCTAAATTTTGTATAAAATTGTAAATAAATTTTCAGTTACAGAAAAATAATATACTAGATGTACGAAAAGCGTTGGAACTCCTTAATATTTTGGAAAATAAGCATTTTACAAAAAAATGTTTTAGACAAAAGTTGTAGTGTTAAAAAAAAAATCTATTTAATGGCCTGAACAATTTGATCTTAGGTTGCCAAGGTCAAAGTAAGATCAAGGAACAGCAAATACTTTACGAGATAATTTATATTTTATACAAACAATTGTTATAATAAAATGGAAAATATTTTAGGAAGTTGTTGAAACACTGGTTATAAACCACTGTTTGTAACCTGTATTTCGATAACGTCTCGACGTCACAAGAATAGAAAATAGGGGTTTCTATTTAAAAAATTCAAGTTGACCTTGACAACGCCACTTAAGATCAAATTGTTCAGGTTATTAAATAAGTTTTTTTAACATTACAATTTTTGTCTAAAACATATTTTTGTAAAATGCTTATTTTCCGAAATATTTCGACACTTTTTGTATACCCTGTAGAAAAGTATAATAAAAATACTAAAAGATGTTGCGCCTGGCCGATGGACAAACGGGAACTCTCCATATCTTTCATGATCTGCCAATAATATTTTTTCTCATTTTTCACAATATTCCTCCTATACAATATTTGTAAAATTGCTAAATCATTTAGCACATCTTTATGTCGAGGGATGTCTAATGTTTGTCAATTTGCCAATGGTGACCCGACAGCTAATGTTTAGAATAGTACTGTCATTTAGAACCGGGGTACTCGAGTAATATCGAAGTATCCGATTATCTTTGGTATTATTATTTGATTACTCAAGTATCCGAAATATAGTACACACATGTATTGCGTTGTAATTGCATTGCTAATACAAAATTATCGTATATAATTGTATCACATATAAAAGATAACATTATAAATTATAAATTTATATGTTATTTTTCACGTGTAATACAATTATATACGATAATTTTGTATTAGTAATGCAATTGTAATGCAATACGTTTAATTATCATATTCCGAATACTCGGGTAAGTCATATTGACAGCACAGTATATGATACGCCAAAGCTTCACTCGATCCAACTGTATGTCTTACAATACAAGCGGTTATATTTTTTTTCTTACACTCAGCCATCTTAACCCTAGAATCTGTCCTCTGGAGATTTTGTTTTGTTTATCAGAATCAAGAAAATTACCTGTTCCTATTCATAGTTTGATACAGTCGACTGATGTCAACATCTCAACTATGGTCCTCCTTGATCAATCTTTCTAATTATGTATCTATCCCTCTATCAATGTGTCATGTATTAACCTATAAACTAATACACACTAGTTAACGTTGTGATAAATAACCTTTATTATACTATCACATACACGAACATAGGAGTGTTTACTATGGAGTCAATACCCTGTGACGGCCCAGTGGTGACTGACTCTTACAACGATTGCCGAATTATCGCGATATTTAAAATACCGTAGCATCGGTAACTCAGCTGACTTACTTATCGATACATCACAATTTCCTCCCTTTTACGACTTGTTTATTTTCACATTTAGTCTCGTAGAGCGACGCAAACACGATTGTTTTTCAGCTACAATGTTTTCTTTATCGCTTACATCTTATTTTATCGCTTCCGTTAAATTTGATTATTTGATCTACATGTCGCTTCCAAGTACAATTAGGAGAAATTTTGATCTCAAAAGTTACAGGCGATAATTGCTTTATTATTTTTCCTCGTCGGCGTTTCTTATTCCGTACGCTAAAATTATCCACCATCACTTCCTCGCCAATTTGAAATGTGACGTTACGGTGTCCTTTGCGAGCAGCTCTTTGAGCAATGTGTTTATTCTCTATATTATCCGTTACGTCGGGTTTGAATAAATCAAATCTAGTTCTTAGTTCTCGTTTGTATACCATCCAAGCCGGAGTTTGTTCTGTCGTACAATGCTCTGTTGTACGATAATCAAATAAAAACAAGTTTATCGCTTGTTCAAGTGTTTTATCGTTCTTAATTATTTTTTTGATATTATCCTTAAATGTTTCGACAAATTTTCCGCTGCTCCGTTTGTAACAGGGTGATGAGGTGCTGAGAAGCTTTGTTTAACACCGTTATCTCTCATAATTCTCTAAATTCAACGCTCGTGTACTGAGTTCCATTATCCGTAACCAAATGTCTCGGTAGTTCGAATCTTCCCAGTACTTTCTTAAATTCCGCTATTACTCTCGGTACCTGTGTACAATTATTCTTATCGATAACCTCCGGCCACTTAAAATGTGCATTTATTATCAGCATAAACATATGCCCATAAAAAGGACCTAGGAAATCACTATGAATTCTGCTCCAAAATTTATCCGGCCACGACCACGGTGTTAACGATACATTCGCAGGTTTCTTTCGTTCTTGCGCGCAAACTGTACATGCCGCAGTTACTAATTCTATGTCTTTGTCGATGTTCGGCCACGATACATATGACCTAGCTATCTCTTCATTTTAATAATCCCAAAATGAGACGCATGTAACTCTCGCAACACACTCTCTGTCATTCTTTCTGGAATAACTACTCTATATCCCCACATACAACCTTTTTCAATTGTTAATTCATCTCGCTTCGCAAAATACTTTTCTTCTTTTTGTTAAGGTTCCTCGGCCACATATCGTTTATATATTTACTAATCTGTGTTAACGTTTTGTCGCGCTTTGTTTCTCTCGCAATTTCTACCGCATTCAAAGTTTTAATACTTTCTTGCACATAATTTATCGCAGTGAACTCATTTTCGAACACTGGCATTACATCATTTATCGGAAGTCTCGAAAGTGCGTCACAATTACCGTTTTGCTTTGATCGAATATATGAGGAATAATGGGATTTCCTGTTTCGGGCCAAAAATGAATATCAAAGGTTTATGATCAGTTTTTAAAATAATATTTTTTCCGTATACATAATTGTAGAATTTTTTAAAGCCAAATACAATTGCACTTACTTCCTTATCAACTGGTGCGCGATGCAGCTCCTTTGTCGGAATGATTTTAGACGCGTAAGCTATTGGTTTTTACTACCGTCTGACAAAATTGCTGATAACCCGTACGCTGAAGCATGCTAAAATAATTTTCTCTTTTTGATCATAATGCGCCAACACTTTTGTTCTCATTTGTTCTCTATCAAT